ATAGTATGCCCATGCGTGTCCATCACCGTGAGGCTTTGTGAATGGCATTTGTTTATTACTTCATTCGTTCGTTCATTATTAATTCAGCATGGAAGTCAACAGGAAAGTCTGGGGATGACATTGTCGCCTCGTCATTCATACATCAAAGTGACGACGTATTGAAGGTCTCTGTGTATTTTCACCTTGATGGAGGAATCCTGTAAATTCTGAACGTTCTATATATATATAGTACCGCAAGACCAATGTGATTTTGTGAGACGACATTGAACAAACAACAACAATCGTCGTAGACGCATAATTAAAAATTCTTCATGGTTGAGAACCTCATAACGACGAATAAATAGCGCCAAATGACGCCGCGAAGTTTAAAATTTTAACAAACGATTAACTGTATTTTACTGTAATTACAACCATTCTAAGGAAGCCTGAAAATCAGCTCAAAGTGAACTATGAAAAATGGTATCTACCACAAGCAAGCCGCCAATGGCTTCATGTGGGTGAGATTATAACAACGGCCACTTTCGAGGGCAACCACTCCTTCGACGGAAAATCTGATGAACCGTTGACGTCCTCTCGTGGCGGCACTCCCACGTTCACGTCAGTGTTTTGATTAAAGTGCCGGCCGGTCTGCAGAAGCTACCTCATTTCGTCGCGTGACAGTCAATTATCGGCAGCGCGTGCCCTGCCCGGACCTAATTAAAAGCTGGCGACCCGGGGACAGCTGCCGGCCGAGCGATGATACTCGCAAACTTTGTAGAACGCATAATAACGCGGAAGGTTAATGCCACAGCTGGTCATTATTTACACGATGGATGCCACTAAACTACGGGTGGGGAAAGCGATGTGTAGGACGATGGTGGACGGAAGTGACAGCGCTTTTTCAAGCGACAAGTTCACATCAGCAGATCTTGCTGGTGCTGTCGTTTACTCTAACTCTGACCGACAATCGACAGAGGCTGTCATTGGCCAAACACCTCAAAATGCTCAAAACGCCCTCTTGATAAACCTGAAGAAAATTTGTCGAGTGTGCTGCTGCTGGTAAATCCATGCTTGAAACATCCCTTGTCCTACTGGCACCATTCGAAGTTGCTAATCAGAGCGCAAGGTTCACAGCTGAATGTGATGTGGCTGGAGTGTGAATAGATACCTACAAAATAGTATCTGTAGTAGTTATGCCTCGAACTCCTGCCCGCTGATGGACAATAGGGCGCAATTGAAACATATGGAGAAGTGAGGTATTTAGGCCTTCTGTTTCTACGCGATGGAAAATGGAAAATGATCGATTGACCGACAGGAATGACCAGTTTGGTGTGAACTATTGTGAACCGTTGTAATCAAAGCTGAACTAACTCTAAGGATGAAGTTTCATTTAAGCATGACCATCTTCGTCGCTATAAGCAACGATGACTAAGGCATGTCCAGTGAAAACTAAACATCGATGACTAACCGGCTATTGCTTGTTCAACAGGCGGGTGGACAATCCCAGGAAAGAGCCATAATAACTCGGAACATATTCATTAATGAGCTTTGCCCAAGTCTGAGATATTTCCTGTCACTTCCCAGGCAAAGGCGCAATATCATGAATGCTTGTGACAAAAGGAACAATACGTCACTCATGGCTGATGGCAAGAAAACAGACATTAGCACCTACAACACAGGGACCATCTCGAGCTCGATGATGCGTGAAAGCAAATCTGGGCTTCCATTTAAGTGCTAGTTTGATCTACGGATAAGTCTGGCTGTTTCATTGGTGAATCGCTGTAGATACAAACAGTGGTAGCTACAAATCATAAATAAAACTGAAGTCGAAACGTTGCTTAAACGGAATATTAGTTGTCCCCGGTTTTATTTATTGCTAAATATCGATCCTTTTGAAGGCACACAACAGGCAGTTAAAACCGTTATGTACTTAATGCCCGCCATAGCTGCTGACATGGAGTGAATAGATTTAATTTGCAATACTGAAACAAATTGCCAAACTGATCCGAATATCATGTACCTCGTCGCTGCACCGATTTGGTTCGAGTGAATGAACAATTGTTCATGTCGTTTGAATCACAAATGTACAGCTGGGGATCGTTGGATCACAAATGTCTACTCGGTCGTTCAAGCACACTGGGAAATTGACGAGCTGACTGTCACATAACTTTGCCAGAGATGGGGACAGAAATCGAAAAACGGAGAATACTGTAGAAGCGTCGATCTCGTCAATGGTGTACGTATAACGAGGACAAGCTAGATAATGGATAACGACTGAAAGAACAAACGAACGACTGACTGACTGAATGATGAACAAATTAAATGTTTTACTTCCCGTCTCATGTTTAACTAGTCTGTTTAACTGGGCATCATCTAACTAATCCACTAATCTGATTTTTCATCATAATTTGGTTTGGATTTTCGATTCTATTGCAGATGCCTCACATTAGCAAGGAGTCTGTGGCCGCTAATCTGGAATTATTTAAAGTCGGTTTATGAACGTCAGAACGTGGAGCCTTTAATGAAGTTAACAGCCTGTTGTTGGAAGAGTACTAAATTATTATGATAAACAAAAGAAGAGCATATTTGCAACAGGGCACAAAACTTACATATGGAGTAGTGAATTTTATTAACACATGAGGCAACGAATCTCCATTCGACTGAAGCTCGTGAGGTATCGAACATTCCACTATCTTTTCAGCGTCAACCGTCACAAGTGCCGCATTTGGGGAACAGAGAAGTCTGTAGAGGTTTAACAATACAAAAGAGATTTCTTGAAATTCGAAGTTTCGCTTGGTGTTAAGAATTCAGACACTATGGCTTCACTTTCAAGTCAGAGACTGACACCAGTGAAAATTGCCTTGCGATATTACCAAATTTCTTTATCCGTGAGCAATAACAAACGGAACGACTTTTCTACGGAATGTCCACCTCAATACGTTACAGATTCTTGAGATATCTTTTAAGCCAAGTGGAGCGAATCCACAAAAAATAAGATAAATATAATTTCGATCTTCTGAAATAGCAACCATGAATAGCAGCTTCACTGTTCCTTGGGTGATTCGACCCAGCCCTCCCCCACCCTAAGTTCAGCAGCTAGAAGCAATAGACTGTGCCAAGTAAATTTGTATTAATAATTGATGCGCGTATCTGCAGAAGTGAGCCAGTTGCATAGTCACCTCGTCACCTCGTTCACCCAAGTGTTTGGGCTGCAGCTTATGAATCGATGAGAAAACTTTCGTCGACTCCTAAAGTCGCATTTTTCCAATGGGCATAAAGTCAGAGTGAACAATTCTTACAATTCACAGATCACCCAGGAACAACTTCGGAATATTTTCAGTGAATTGGAAAATCGCTTTGAAAGAAGTATCACTGAAAATTGCGGTCACATGTTTGAAGTTTTTTGGTAAATTGTACATTGCAAAAAAAAACCAAGGAAATATGCTGCTATATAATGATTAAAATATCTTTTGATCGACGCATAACTCCTTCAAAATCCGATATTATGGGATGTTGCAGCAATCCCTTGGTTCTAATGGCTTTCAAGAGTCATTTTGTTGGACGAGATATTCCAGCATCTGCAGTGCCAAATGAATCTCACATCTCACATGTTTCCGGAAGCCGGTGCTCTTTATATGCTACCGCATGAATATCAAAATATTAATACGCCGGAGTATGCTAAGTGTTGCATGACCCTTGCAAGACCAGATTTAATTACGCATGATATTACTGTCATGATATGCAGATTCAAGTTTACACTGCACCAACAGTTCATGAACCCCCCCTCAAAAAAAAGCGTAGTTCATTTGGAGGTCATTTTCCAGTACACTGCTCACCCTCCTCTGGTACACTACGCATTTCAGCGCCATGACTATCGGCAATGTCATTTAATTAAGCCACGTACCGCGCAAGAATGTCAAACACGTAACTCACGTGACACGAATCTTTTTCAATGGCCGGAAAATTCAATTACTGAGGAAGGCTACAGTAGCGAAGGAGGCGCTTAAAATAGAGCCGTGGATCGACCAGAAGCGGTTTTACTCCCGAGGTGACGAATGAATGAAGAAAGCCGAAACCAGAAATCGTACGCAGCGTGAATCAACGGGAAGAGCGGCATCGACGTTGCTCGAATTTGTCAAAAGTGTCCCTTTAGTAGTTTTTAGCTCAATGAAAACTGACTACTTCGCCTTAACTACTGGCCGAAACGGTTCACGTGCCGAAACGCCTGGCTTAGAAAATTCTGATCTACGCGAACTCAAATTTACGACCAATTCGAAGAAGTTTACGAGTAATGAATAACTGCAAGTACAAACTGCTTAGCTGAGTTTATCGATTGATTAGGAACTCATTCGAATCGTCATCAGCAACGGTATCGTAAACAGTGGTTCTGTCATTCAATGAGGTTATTGAGGTAGAAAATGATATTCCATGGCAAGCAGGGCTAACACGTCCTTTCGACCTCCAAGCAAGATTGTACGATTCGATTTTGGAGCGGAATCGGGTTAAAGGCGAGGCCACAATAAAGACGGCAAGAAAACCGTTTCTAACCGTTGGGATGTTTCCACATGTTGTCCTGCAAAATTTGGCACCAGTTGTGGCATTCCACTTCCTGTCAAGTGTATGATACGGAAATAATCGCCGTTTTTGTCCCGTCAAGCAGCAGTGCCTTGGATTTCTCTTTTAATGCTGTGTCAGCAATTTCATTGCCACCATTGCGCATGGCTTCTTGCTTCCTTTTCATGAAATCTGCTCATCTATTTACCCTTGAAGAACGAAAAGCGAATTACCGGACCAGGGCCTGACCCGCGATCTCTCGATTCTGAGTTTTGCGCCATACGGACTCTGAAACCTAAATCCAAGGGAAGATGACCGCAGATCACATGGCTTGATTACACAGAAGGTTAGGCAGTGAGTTCTCGGCAGATACGGATCGTTCGAAAGGTCTCCTGAACAAGCTGACCGAACAGTTGCAGCTGTGCTTTCTCAATCTAGAGAAGTTGTACCTTTACAAAGAGGCGTTCTCAATGCCAAATGCTGCTGAAAAACCTGAGCTCATCCATTAGTCACAAAAAGCCCAGTTCAATTACTGATTTCAGGAATTGCTGTTTTTGGTTATGGCTTATGACTTACGATTCTGGACCACAACTTTCATAACTGTCATGACCATAGGTGAGAATGAGGATGGAAATCTACTGGAGCACAGACAGAGCCGTCTCACACTTAGCACTACTTTGGTAACAACGGTTCTGTTGTGACTGTTCGCTAAGAACGCCGCTGGTCGTCTCGATTCGCTGATCTATCTCTTCCTCTCGTTTTCTATCACCAGTAAGTACAACGCTGAGATACGTGAACTCATTCACTTTTTCCACTGCTTCTCCATTTATCTGCATAGTGCGGTGGACACTAGACATTTTGGTTTTAGAAGCGGTTATTCGCATGCCGGCCACGTGGCATTTGGCCGTGAACAGGTCCAGAGAGCGCCAGAAATTATGTTGGAAAGCTGCTATAAAAGCAAGGTGGTCTGCAAACGGCATCCCTTCCTTCTTCACATTTCCTACACCGATACACTCATCGCCTTGGCTGCTTCTGACTATTCTATCCATGCACAACACACAGGGGAGGGGAGACGATGCAGCCTTCGGGGAGGCTAATGCCGATGTTGAAATATCTAGACGTAACGACATTTGCTCTGAACCAGCACCTGATATCACCATATGTTGATCAGGTGACCCGTAACAACTGGCCGTCGACTTTATACATCTGCAGGCACCTCCATAGCTTGTGGCGAAAAGTCCGGTCATCGGCCTTTCTCGAAGTCCACACCGGATGAGCGAACGCCCACCATCCCTCAACAGTCTCGTGTAGGGCGAAGATCATGTTGTTCTCTTGGATCCTAGAGCTAGCTAGTCCGCCAAGTTTTCTTTTCGACACCTTTGCTCAGGTTTTACGTGGGAGACTCATTAAAGTAATGCTCTGATAATCGGAGCATTTCCAATGATCTACCCTGTTGAACATGGTTGCCACTATAGCTTTTCTACAGTCTACAACCTTTCGTTTTGCAGTTTGACAGACTCGTGTTAGTCAATGCATGCCTGGTACTCGTAACGCTGTATGTCAGAGTGGATCTGATCCATTCCACCAGCAATACCGCTCTTCATGATTTTAACATCTTCGATGTATTCATTTGCTGAAGGACTAATATCCGTTTTCTGTTGCTCTTCAGGAAAGATTTCGCTTGGTTACTCAGGGTTAGGCAGTTCGTCAAAGTACTTTATTCAGTGCCAAACTGCATCCTCTTCCTTGGCAAAAAGGAGTCTAACTTATCTTTCAAGATGACTGTCTTCCTTTAATTTCAGAGACGGCACGTAATCTGCCGAAATGTATTGTTTGCTCTGGAAATTCGACATTAACATAATAAGGGCAATAGCATATCATTAATAACTTATTCCGGAATTATAGATGCGCTGTGTCCAGTCGTGAGACCAAACGCTAAGAGATGTCGACTGCCTCCGCAGCATTGGCTTACTCCGCTGCAAATGGATAAGAAGTATTCATGACAAATTTAGTTTCCTCCTCATAATATGAGGAGGCTAATAATACCTTAATACCCATGGCTTGACGTTGTCTTTGCCAATTACCTAAATATTCACACCGCTGAATCTGTCTC